AAAGTGACCCTGTTGCTTTTACCTGAATAGGTAGGACTAATCAGTACCATTTTGTATTTATTTAAATTTATCAGCTTTACCCATTTTTATGGCATGGTATTCTATGAGCCCCACATATATTAGCCTTGGTCTTCAGGGGTGCCCTAGTATTTTGGACAAGATTCAAAAAGTCATCACTTCAACATCCCTGACTATAGGTTGGTTTAAAAGGTGCATAATCAAATGAAGCAAGACCTGCATTTTAGAGAATTGCATGCCATGCATGTCATAGCATGTTGATGAAGGGGGAGAGTCCCCACAACATTGGGCTTGCTTATTTTTAAATATATGGAAAACCCTCTTTTTGTGGGATTTTAAAGGCACAAAGTCAATAGAACCATTTAATTTGTAGAAAACTATATAGAACCATATTTTTTTACACTTTTTAAAATTCACCTAGACATACAAAATATTGCTATTATACATGACATACCTGTTACAGTAAATGCACAGGTAGAGGAGATGAAACTCAATTATGCAATCACTTGACGCGTTTCAAGACCGCAAACAATCTCTTCTTCAGAATTTCAGATGAACTAGGAAGGGAAAGTGTTGTGATCTTATAAACTATGAAATTACAGTAAATGTAGCTTTTATTGCAGAGGTTTAAGGTCTTTTTTAAATTTTCCTTTGGAATATAACCCAAACCTGGAAGATAACTTACATACACAGACTTTCAGTGATCCTAGATCTGGATGGGAAGAGACCATAAACAATTCTGGAGGTCTGGTTCAAGAGATTAGTTTATTGATGTTTTGAAATATCACCCAGCTTCAGAGACAAGGCTAGGTTACAGTAAATGCACAGGTAGAGGAGATGAAACTCAATTATTCAATCACTTGACGCATTTCAAGAGAACAAACAATCTCTTCTTCAGAATTTCAGATGAACTAGGAGTGCAGAGAGAGAACACACGGAGACAGGTGGCACAGAATCCGACATGCAGGCATTTATTGTTTTTTTTTTTGGGAGCACACAATTGAACAGCTAGTCCACAGAACACAAGACACAGCGATACAGTAGGGTTCTCAGGATGACAATATGGGGCAGCAGGGGGCCAATAGTCCACCGGGTTTAATAGGCCAGAGCGGCGGGGCACTGCAGGGGTTGGAGTCCGCGGGTAAGGGTTTTGCGTAAAATCGGGCTAAGTCCACACAGGGCAGAGAAATCCGGGTACAGTGGGGTTAACTCACCAGCTAGCAGATCAGGGCACCGAGGGTTAAAGTCCACACAGCAAATCCTGGCACAGCAGGGTTAAAGTCAACACAGCAAATCCATAGCAGGCTCGCAGTGGAGGAGGCTAGTGAGAGGGAGGGGGGGGTCTGGCCGCAGCTCAGACCTCGCTCACACCAGGCAGGGGAAGCAGCCAGGAACCACATGACCGGGGGGCCTGCTCCGGCATTATATATGGAACCAGGTGCATTCTCGTTGCCGCAGTAACCTGAGATTTGGCATCGGGTTATCATGGCAATGGGCCCCGCCCCATCAACACCGGCCCCACACAGGGAACACGGCCTTTGTCTCTGGTGGGCACAGAGAGCGGGATCGTGCCATGCCCCATTGAGACAAGGAGGGGGGTTGACAGGAGGGGAACCTGCATGTGGCAAATCCACATGCAGGGGGCAGACTTTCTAGCGCTCGGCAAAAGGAGCAGGATGCCGCCTCAGCTGGGGGGCAGATGGCTGGCAGGAGCACCAGAGTGAGGGGATGCTGGGGGGTGGGGGGTGGCAAACAGGAACCGGGGGATGGGGGGGAGACTAGCTCTGTGACAAAATAATCTCTTCTTCAGAAGTGCCTAAATAGAACATGATGCCTATAATAGATATATAGTTATAAATATATATACAGTATATATCTATTATAGGCATCATGCTCTATTTAGGCACTTCTGAAGAAGAGATTGTTTGCTGTCTCTAAATGTGTCAAGTGCTTGCATGATTGAATTTCATCTCCTCTACCTGGGCATTTATTGTAACAGATATGCAATGTATAACTGCCATATTTTGTAAAATATGATTCTATATAGGTTTTCTGCAAATTGAATGGTTCTATTGACTTTGTGCCTTTAAAATCCCACAAAAAGAGGGTTTTCCATATATGCTTTATAAGGGATGATGGCACTTCTTGTTACCACATCCACTTCTTTTCTACTTACTTATTTTTAAATGCTTGTTTTAAAGCAAACCACCTTCCAGTGTATAGGAATGCTGGATTTTTGTATCTTGTCTGTTTGTGGTGCCACTGCTAGCTGTGCATTTGACTAAAACCTCAGCCTTACAGGTACGTGTGCGAGATGTACTTTTCTATACCCAGTCTTTTAGGACCCTAGTAAATCCCCTCCAGTTAGTGTCATTGCCTCCTTGCAGAATGAATGATTGACAGGTCTTTAATTTGATCCGATAATCAATTTGTAAAATACAGCTGAGTTTCCCTGGGGTGATTATACCAAGTGGTCCGGCTGAAAAATGCCATGATATCTTGTTACGTGTATATAAGTCCTTGCCTGTGTCGGTTTCTCCTGCCATGTGGCCCTGCGCCAGTACTTGGCAAAAAAAGAGACATTTTCATTAGAGATGAAGCTTAGCTGGAAAAAAGGCTCCGTGTTTCAATTTCACAGTTGACAATGAGGCTCCCCAGAACTTTGTTCTTTGGAAGGGAAAGTGTTGTGATCTTATAAACTATGAAATTAAATGTAGCTTTTATTGCAGAGGTTTAAGGTCTTTTTTAAATTTTCCTTTGGAATATAACCCAAACCTGGAAGATAACTTACATACACAGACTTCCAGTGATCCTAGATCTGGATGGGAAGAGACCATAAACAATTCTGGAGGTCTGGTTCAAGAGATTAGTTTATTGAAGTTTTGGAATATCACCCAGCTTCAGAGACAAGGCTTAGTTTTAGAAATCTAAACAACTCTTTGGAAACATTTGTTATCTCCTGGCAAAATCAAACCTTTCCATCCACTGCCACCCTCAACCTACATTCAGCAACTTTATTTTTCAAAAAGCCCTCCCAAGCAGAGTTTCACCCATCTGAGTCCACTATCTGGTGACCTCACTGATGCCTCTTCTGGAACTTAAGACTCATGATCTACCCCTGCAGTCCATCTGCGTCTGATGCAACCACTGGGGATTTCAGGACTCCATAGCTGTTCAGCCAATAGGAGGTGTCACTAGGTAGCATTGTGTGCACCTGAATAAGACCCCTCCCATTGTGTGGACTAGAAGAAAAGAGTTCTTAATGCGCATCTGCCTTGGAGACCAGTGGAGGGAGACAGTGGGAATAGACACTAGAGCAGCACTTCCAGGAGTAGAAGTAGACTCTGGACAGAACAGAAGAGAAAGAAGGCTCTTCTAAGTGCAGTACATCCACATGTTAAATGGTTAAAACCACTTGACCAATATGCCTGAGCCTTATCATCCTCTGTAAGTGGTTTTAACCATTTTTACCAATACACATGTGGATGTACTGCACTTAGAAGCACCTTCTTTCTCTTCCATTCTGTAGACTAAAATATAAAAGACTCAGGACCCAGAGGGGTTTATTTACTAAAGCTGGAGAGTCCAAAATCAGACTCCCTTCTGCATAGAAACCAATCAGCTTCTAACCTCAGCTTGTTCAATGAAGCTTAGGCAATGAAACCTGGAAGCTGATTGGTTTCTATGCAGAAGGGAGTCTGATTTTGGACTCTCCAGCTTTAGTAAATAAACCCCAGAATGTCAACCGCAGATCCAACACATACCTGTCTTCATTCCACAGCCTCTTCTTTGAAGCATGGTCAAATCAGAAGGCTGGGGAAAAAGGGGTGACAAAGGAAGCAGAAGGTCTGTGGCCAATCCATCAAATTAGCAAATAGCACTACCATATCATGGCAAATATGGAGATTTGGATGTATATGAATCTCTGAATGGACCTAGTAACAAATCTGAAAAAAAAAGTTATACCGAAATTAACAAATGTATTCGTTTTATTCGATGATGTCACATGATGCAATAATAGTTCAGGCCCATGGGAAAATTAATTAAATTTTCGAATTTGTTTGATAATTTGGATTCGGATAATGAATGGATCCAAATTTTGCTCCATTCATTAATTCGGATGCACATGACACCAGTCAATATTGTCCAATCAGCTCATACATTTTCTCATGATGGCTTGCACTAGCCTCCGAAAATATCAAAATCCGTCTAATTTCAATACTATATTGAATATATAACAATCTTCCGGAAAAAAGGCAAAATTTTTAGAATCCACTAAGACCAACGAATATACGAAATGAATACTGAAAAAAAGAAATGAATTTGGAAAACTACCGTATTTTTCGCTCCATAAGACACACTTTTTTCCCCCCAAGAAAGGGAGGAAAATGTCAGTGCGTCTTATGGAGCGGGTGGTCCGGTATTCCCGCCGTGTGTCCGGTATTCCTGCCGGCCGCTCAGCTCTTCTCTGCCGCAGGACCTTACCTGTTCCTCGGTCCAGCGCTGTACAGTCTTCCCGCGCCGGCATCTTTAGTGTGGGCACCCGGCACTGAGCATGCGTGAGATGAGCTGCGCTTTGTGAATAGTCCGGCGTCTTCTGGGACACTAAAGAAAGGACAACTCCGTGGAAATGGGAGCGGGTACCTGTCAAATTCAGGTACCCACTCCCCCTCCCTCCCCAAAGGTACGCAGTCTCTGGTCATCCCCTGTACTGTTTGCAGTCTCTGGTCATCTCCTGTACTGTGTTCGCAGTCTCTGGTCATCTCCTGTACTGTGTCCGCAGTCTCTGGTCATGCCCTGTACTGTGTCCGCAGTCTCTGTTCATCTCCTGTACTATGTGCACAGTCTCTGGTCATCCCCTGTACTATGTCCGCAGTCTCTGGTCGTCTCCTGTACTATGTCCGCAGTCTCTGGTCATGTCCTGTACTGTGTATGCAGTCTCTGGTCATTCTCTGTACTCTGTCCGCAGTCTCTGGTCATCTCCTGCACTATGTCTGCAGTCTCTGGTCATCCCCTGTACTGTCTGCAGTCTCTGGTCATCTCCTGTACTGTGTCCGCAGTCTCTGGTCATCTCCTGCACTGTGTCTGCAGTCTTTGGTCATCTGTACTGTGTCTGCAGTCTCTGGTCATCCCCTGTACTATGTGCGCAGTCTCTGGTCATCTCCTGTACTATGTCCGCAGTCTCTAGTCATCTCCTATACTATGTCTGCAGTCTCTGGTCATCCCCTGTACTGTGTCCGCAGTCTCTGGTTATCCCCTGTACTGTCTGCAGTCTCTGTTCATCTCCTGTACTATGTCTGCAGTCTCTGGTCATCCCCTGTACTGTGTCTGCAGTCTCTGTTCATCTCCTGTACTATGTCCGCAGTCTCTGGTCATCTGTACTGTGTCCGCAGTCTCTGGTCATCCTCTGTACTATGTCTGCAGTCTCTGGTCATCTCCTGTACTATGTCCGCAGTCTCTGGTCATCCCCTGTACTATGTCCACAGTCTCTGCTCATCTCCTGTACTATATCCGCAGTCTCTGGTCATCCTCTGTACTGTGTCCGCAGTCTCTGGTCATCTCCTGTACTGTGTCCGCAGTCTCTGGTCATCTCCTGTGATTTTGTCCGCAGTCTCTGGTCATCTCCTGCACTGTGCCCGCAGTCTCTGGTCATCTCCTGTACTGTGTTTGCAGTCTCTGGTCATCTCCTGTACTGTGTCCACAGTCTCTGGCCATCTCCTGTACTGTGTCCGCAGTCTCTGGTCATCCTCTGTACTATGTCTGCAGTCTCTGGTCATCTCCTGTACTATGTCCGCAGTCTCTGGTCATCCCCTGTACTATGTCCACAGTCTCTGCTCATCTCCTGTACTATATCCGCAGTCTCTGGTCATCCTCTGTACTGTGTCCGCAGTCTCTGGTCATCTCCTGTACTGTGTCCGCAGTCTCTGGTCATCTCCTGTACTTTTGTCCGCATTCTCTGGTCATCTCCTGTACTATGATTTTTTACGCAGTCTCTGGTCATCTCCTGTACTGTGTCCCGCAGTCTCTGGTCATCTCCTGTACTGTGTTCCGCAGTCTCTGGTCATCTCCTGTACTGTGTCGCAGTCTCTGGTCATCTCCTGTACTGTGTCTGCAGTCTCTGGTCATCCCTGTACTGTGGTCATTCCCCTGCCCGCAGTCTCTGGTCATCTGCTGTACTGTGTTCGCAGTCTCTGGTCATCTCCTGTACTGTGTCCACAGTCTCTGGCCATCTCCTGTACTATGTTCGCAGTCTCTGGTCATTTCCTGCACTATGTCTGCAGTCCATTGGTTCAGAATATTTCTTTTCTTTTTTTTCTCCTCTAAAATCTAGGTGCGTCTTATGGTCAGGTGCGTCTTATGGAGCGAAAAATACGGTAATTGGTTCAACATAATGAATATGATGAAACGAAATTCTTCAATGAATGAATGAATCTGAAACAAAAAGAAAATTTCCAGCATAATAGCAAATACAAACATCCACCATAATTCAATTATCTGTTCACCAAAAAAAAAAGAGACAATAGTTGCTGGGATAAAACTAAACCCAAGTGACACAATCCCCCCTCGCTCTTTTTTTTTTTTTGCTCTCTGAACAGAGACCAGGACATTTTAAAGTGAACTTGTGCTGTGGCCATGACAGTTCACTTTTAAGAGTAATATAAATACTTTTAGTAGTTTATATCTTATATTCAATCATACAGATCTGCATATCAGTGCATGAAAGATGGGACCAAAGGAGTATCTTTTAAAAATAGGGATAGAGCCAGTGATGCATTTACCACAAGGCAAACAAGGCATTTGCCTAGGTCGGCATTTTTCATGGGGGCAGCAGCATTTTTCAGGGGGCCAGCGCTGTCCCCCCAAAGAAGGAAAGGAAGAAGGGACACGCAGCACGGGGACCAGGTGGGATCTGAGAGAGGCTGCGGGCTGCTTGATGGTGTATGCAGAGCCTGACACTCATTCCCAGGGATGTCTGGAGCTGTGAAGGTAAGTGTCTTATCTCTTGTCGGGTGGGGGTGGGGGTTGTCAGTGTATGGGGGCGGTGGTAGTGGAAAGCTCTCTCGGGTGGGGGTGGGGGGGGGGCTCTAGGGTGTTGGTCAATGGGGGGAGGCAATTTTTGTGTTGCCTAGGGCAGCACAAAACCTAAATACACCACTGGAAAGAGCAGGGAAGCGTAAAGTTTCATGTGTCTTGTTTACTTGGCGTTTCAGACACCCAGCGTAGCACCTGGCAGAGGATGGTGGGTGTTGACGAGATTTTAAATGTTACCTGCTTGTGGTCTATGTCATCAACACGCTTGTCTTACTTGTTCTCTGTTGTTTTGTGTACTTAAAGAAAGAGTCACACTTCACAGATGACACTTAAAGATATAAATACCTATAGCTAACTAGTCAGGCAGAACAGCAAGATATTTGAAAACAAAGATGAATTATGTCATGTCTAAGCTTGCAGCTCTCATCCATAGCCTACTGAGCTACTCAGAACAAGTCTGGCCAATGTTTATTTGTATAGGTCTATGCCTGTGCCTACTGCTAAAGAACCCAACTGCCTATATGCAGGGGAGTTATAAAGTACAGGATTGCTTTACCTAGCAATACGAAAGTTATATCCAAACTGCAGGCAGATGTTTTTAAATGCAAGGACTGTAAGAACCTGAATTTGACTGGTATCAGTCTTCACAATCCCCTATACAGCAGAGCTCAGACTGGGAGAGGGAGAAGCAGCACAAGGAGCCAAGCAATTATGCTAGCAAAGATATTGATAGGAGGGGAAAGCAGAGGGACAGAGAGGTAAGCTTATGAGTGTGCTGCTTTCACTGTCTATGGGAGGGACAAGAATCATTAGAATTATGTAAGCACCACAGAGAGAAATCAGGTCTCTTCCATTGCCAGACTGTTCTGTGCTATGTGACAGAGGTGTGTAAATCTCAGGACTGGATGGAGAGATATACACCTTTGGGAGGTGAAACTGCTCCCATATGTAGTCCATCTGTATCTTTAGATGGTGTCTGGAGATCATCCTTTTGATACTTTTTTCCCCAGTTTAATACTGTTGACCCAAAGGGGTTTATTTACTAAAGCTGGAGAGTCCAAAATCAGACTCCCTTCTGCATAGAAACCAATCAGCTTCCAGGTTTCATTGCCAAAGCTTCATTGAACAAGCTGAGGTTAGAAGCTGATTGGTTTCTATGCAGAAGGGAGTCTGATTTTGGACTCTCCAGCTTTAGTAAATAAACCCCAAAATGTCCAACTGGAACAAAGTGTCTAGAAAACACTTGTTATTGCTTTCTGTATACTCAGTTGGAAGGTTTAACCTCACTTCCTGTCTGTCTTCAGGATAGACATCTAGAGCAGTGGTCTTCAAACTGCGTCTCGGAGGCCCAATGTGGCCCCTTGCTTGCCTCTTTATCTGGCCCTTGGGGCACTGTTGCTTCCCTGATACAAAACACTATTTCTCCCACTGACACCAACAATGGGGCATAATTCCTGCTACTGACATCAACAATGGGCACTATTCTTCCTACTGACATTAATGATGGGGCATCATTCCTCCCACTGACACCCAACAATGGGATACTTTTCCTCCTACTGACACCAGCAATGGGGCACATTCCTTGCACTGTGATTGGGCATTTTTATTCCTACTGATACCATGGGGTGCTATTCCTCCTGATACCTTGGCCTCCTACTGATACCATGGCCACAGTCCGGCCCCCCTAAAGTCTGAAGATCAGCAACCTGACCCTTTGTCTGGAAAGTTTAGAGACCCCTGATTTAGAGGAAATCCAAAGTTTAATGGTAGTCACTTAAACAGATAGTGAACCTGTTCTTGTGGGATTTTCCCTCAATATTAGTATAGTAGTCTCTCCAGTAGAGGAAGTGAGGAGTAATCCCACCAAAAGGAACTCGGACAGCAATAAAAACCATATAAAGATGCTAGTCCTTCTTTACATGTTGCTTTGTCATGCATGTACAAAGCATAGGTTTGCTTTAAAAGACCCAGTCACCTTGCACATTCAGAGCAAAGTGATAGGGATTTTTGTAAAGTCCACCCAACCACTTTTTACTCACCTCTCCAGTCTTCCCCTATGACTCCTTTCTTTGTTGCAGTCATCATTAAAATCCCCACTGTCATCTAGGCTCAGAGCTGAGAGCGAGCCATGACACCACCCCGATTAGCACCAAGTATTTTTGTAGCAGCAGATATAGATCAAGTAGTGGCCGGGGTAGAGCTGTAAAGATGAGTATAAAGTGGTTTGGGGTTGGACTTTTTACAGACCTTGTTACTTTGCCCTGAATAGGCAAGGAGACAGGTTCTCTTTGTACAAAGTATTTTATCAGACAGACTAGAAAATCCTCCACATTTTAGAGTGTTCTGTCTGTGGAATCCTTTCTAGCCTGTTAGACATCGAACGTTGTACACTCAGCTTCCTTTTCAGGGCTTAATAAACTTAAAGGTCTCAAATACGTCCCTAATTGGTTGGTTTTGGCAGCGCTAGACAATGCGATAATAGCTCCTTACAAGCAAAACAAAATCTGGCAAGCGTACAAGTAAAACACATCATGTTTAGTCTTCTGATAAAAGCAATTGTTTATCGTCAGTCTTAGTAGCCATCTTGTTGAAGATCACGTATGGCAGGATGCAACATGTCTGATACACTGTCCATATAATCCTTTTTTATCATGCAGTTTGATCTACAGAAGAATTCCTGCTACCCATTAACATTCAGCAACTTTCAATCTGCCACTTCAGCATCTGGGACTTCTTCCTGATTTATGCCGCTTAAGATGCAAGAATCTATGAGTTGTGAAATCTGTCAAGCTGTTTTTGGATATTGGCTTATCCTGATATGTTTTCTAACTTCTGCAAGTTCTAATGAGCTTGAAAAATAGCAAAAGCAATCTGACAAATTAGTGAAAACATCCGGACTAATTTAAAGGTCACTCCATACAAACCTCATACTTGTATTGTAGATGCTGAGGAGCAACGGAAAGAGACAAAAAGACATTGCAAAGGATTGTGACCTGGAATAAGAAAACAACTACTGCAAAAGTGACTGCAGAGCTCAGTCTCAGTCCCATGAAGATTAAGTTCCTGAAGACTGAGACCGAGCTCTGCAGTCACTTTTTCAGCAATTGTATGTCAGAATCCTGCACTATGTCCTTTTGTCTCTTTTGCTCAGTTAACCATGTCAACCACGCTTATGCTTCTCAGACAATGTTTTCCCAGACTCTGTATATGCCGTCATACTCTTTGATACTGTACCTCACGGCACGGCAAATAAATTGGCAACTTCAGTCACAGAGGAGTCAGCTGAGCGGCTCTAACAATTTGCCCTCTTTGAAGCTCCGTAAGCTCTGATATGACTCCATATTTTTAGCAGTGCATGCAGTGAATGGCAAAAGTGAGTCTTCCCACCTATTAGCTAGGTGTCTCATCACACAGTGGAAGCAAAAGAATATTACATTACTTC